ACACACACACACACACACACACACACACACACACACACACACGCGCGCGCGCGCGCACGCACGCACACATAGGTTCGCCGAAAATCAATCAATCATTTTTTCTTTCTCTGTGCCTGTTTCTCTCTCTCTCTCTCTCTCTCTCTCTCTCTCTCTAATAATCGGGTGGAACTGCAACCGGTTGTTGCTGAAACGGTGTTTCTAGGCACAAAGGTTCCCGGGCCTACGCTCGCTAATAATCGGGTGGAACCGCAACCGGTTGTTGCTGAAACGGGAACTCAGGTTTTGAAAGTGTTGAATGCACTATCGGCGCGAATACCCTTACAAGGGTATCGGCCCTGTTTTATGCAAGTGGGAGAAAATGGTTTTGATTTAAAGTGAAGTATACCTCGCTAGGCGCGGTTGTGTTGTGATTACTTTGACTGGATGGCTGACTAGAGTAGAGGGTTTGTGGGCGCGCAGGTTTAAGGCGCGCGTGATTGTTTTTGTTGTTGATTATAAAGCCGGCGCAGACGTCGGTCGTTTGGTGTAACGATATTATTAATGTTTATTTTTGATTAAGTAGGATTTAGGGGTGTTTTCCATTGGTTGGTACGTTTGACCGAGGCGAGCGAGCCTGCGAGGAAGACGGCGACAGAGTGACTGCGGTAGGTCTCGACACGCGAAGTGGCGCGAGTGGCGGCCAGGGCACAACTTGGTAAGACGGCGCAGACGCTGGGCGGCCGCGCGCACAGTTGTAGGCGGAGGCGAGGCTCAGGCCAATTTCCCTGGCCGTGAGCGCAGCCCCGCGCCACCTTATATGACATTTCGTGGATATTGGTCTCAGGCTTGGGCTTAGCCCTATAGGTTACGATATCCGATTACTGCTACGGAGGTTCAGGGATCGAGGCTGGTTAGCGTCGACACCGCGACAACAGGGCATCGGGAAAGCCGATGGGGTTGAGGGCCGTGGGGCTATCCCCCTCGATTTTGTTAGTGGCGGCGTCCGATCGGTGCTGGCGTTTTCTAAATAATTTTATTCTGGTGTCGTATTTTCTTTTTTTTTATATACCCCGGTGGGCCATTGATTTGGACGAGGCGCTAGACCTAATAATCGTCACGGAAGTCGAGGACCTTGAGCGCGTGCCCCGTTTGACAGGCCCGCGTGTTTAGAGTGCTGGCAAAAGTCCTCCCTTACGCCGTGGCTGAAAACCACGACGCGGTCAGGGCTGAGTTTGTAATTGCACTTGAGGCGAAAGGACCGGTAATGCTAAATGTATGCGCCCTACGCTTCGGGTTTTGTGAAGTCTCGTGGGGGTGTGTTGAGTTTGCGGGGTCGCTTGAAGTGCAATTACAAACTGTTTTTGCAGCTACGCCGGAGCCGCACCTGACACCATTTGGCCAGGGACGCTGTGCCGTGGGTGTGGCAGACACCCCAGAGGCTGGCTCAGTGGGTACACCCTTGACCTGCTGAAAGTACAAACAGGGTTTGAACCCAGATGATGGGCCGTGATGAGCCCTACCAGATGACCGGAACCGCCTGGGGCCAGTCATTTCCGCGGCCCAGGCTGTGTCCTTCGGGACATCCGTTAAAATTAGAATGACACAGAGAAGATTCACACGGCCCTGAGTGGGGCTGGCATGCACAGGTCCCCAAGGGTGGGTCGGGTTCACGTGTCGCATTGCAAAAAGAGGGGGGAGTGGCGTGGAGGCTGCTGGAGCCTTGAAAGGCCGCAGCCCGATGCTGTTGGGTAGAGTCCTTCGGGACATTCGTAAAAATTGGAATGATACAGAAAAGATTAGCACGGTCCCGGCGCAGGGGCGGCCATTTAAAGGGAAGAAGGCCGACGGCTGAACGCTTTTGCTCAACGTTCAGTAGCCGTCGGGCTGCGCAGTTCGGGGAGTCGACATCGGCCAAGGCAGCGGGGGCGGAGAGCAGGGGTTGAACCCGGACGGGCGCCCGGCCAGGTTCATGCGAAGACGTGAAGTGGGCGGCAGGGAAGCGGACGCAGCTAGGGACGAAGTGTGAACGAGTCGGGGCGGTGTAGCAAAGCCGGGGCAGGAGGACGTCGGGTGTAGTAAACGGGGGTAAGATGGAGACGGACCACGGCGCAACGAGGAGTAGCGGAGGCTGACCGTAGGAGGGGGAACGGGGCCGACGGACAGGCCGTTGCGGGGCGACTGTCGGGCGGACGCTGAGCCAGGCAGAAGGGGAGAGCCTGGAAGAAGGATGGACGAACCTGGCTGGGGCCCTGCGCCAAGTTCAACCATAGTCGAAATAGCGGGGACACCCGCTGGGCACGGTCAAAGCGGAGCTAGCATCGGGCGATGAGACAACAGGCAGGGGGAGACGGGCAGCGGCGCACGACGGTGCATTCAAGGAAGGGAGGACGGGCTATGGCAGAAACGGGTCGGACGCAGCCGACAGCACAACAAGCTCTCGATCCTGAACGGGATCGAGAGGGGAAAGAGGCGATCCCGGGGTTTTGTCCCCGGGCGAATCTAATGGGAGTGTTAGATTTAGACAAGGATCAGTAGATAGGAAGGTTAGTCGAGAAGTTAGTGCACGGAGGTTATAGCGGGAAGGAGGAAAAAGGCTGCGACAGGGAGAATGGACCCAGGCACAGAGCCGCGCCGGGTGCATGCGCGGGGAATGCACCCGGACGTGACTTGCGCCCGATCCATTTGAAAGGAGAGAGAAGGGGATGACTCTCTCGACTCTTAGGGGGATCGTGCGTGGTAAAGAGGTAAGTACAGGTTTTTTAGTAGGAAGGCGGATGGATCTAGCCGGGTTCCTGCGCCGGGTGCATGCGCAGCAGGAAGCAACGATGGCGGAAGGTGGTATGTCGGGATGAAAACGAGAATCCTACCCGCTACTCAATCAAAACGGGTGGGGAAAGAGCTGGGACTATGGATATGAGGCCGGACGAATCAATTTATGGAGTTAGTTTTTTTAGGTAAGTTAGTTGAATTAGTGTTATAAGGAGAAAGAACTGCTGGGAGGTTATGGCGGATCATCGGAGGAAGAAGCAGGAAGGGCATAGCTCGCTCGTTTCTGAACGAAAACGAGCGAGGGAAGAACCGATTTGGGGGTTTCGGACTATGGCGGTCTCGAATCCGTGGTTAGTTTAAAAAGAAAATTAGTGTACAAGGAGATTACTGGAGGTAGTGCTGCGCGAAGGTGAGTAGTTAGTTTTTGCTTAAACAAGGAATGAATCTAGTCGCGTTTGCGGACAGATTCATTCGAATTTCTTCCTCCCTATCTCATCGAACTAAGTAGTGTGTGGCCAGCTGCAAACCGGGAGACTTACCTGTTGGCCGGTGCGGAGCCATCTCGCCAGCGAAGGGTTACACACAGAGAGAAAGAGAGAGAGAGAGAGAGAGAGAGAGAGAGAGAGAGAGATGGGAGAGAGAGAGAGAGAGAGAGGGGGCAGACCAGAAGAGTGGGCGGGCTTGCGCGCAGTAGCGAGGAGCAGGTGGGGCCACTCGCTGCAGAGTCGAGCGAGTAGATGCGGAAAAAGGGGAAAAACAAGGGGAGGAAATGCGTACCTGAGCCTGGGGCCTTACCTGTTAGCACGAG